ATCCACACGAAAGTTAGTCTTGGGGTTTCTGCATTTGACTAAATGTCAGAGGGGGTTTTTGCAAATTTGTTTATTTCAAGGGTTTTTTTGCTATTTAAAGATAACACAGGGCTACTTTCTGGAGTTTACTGAGTCATATTTCTAATTGAGGGTGGGGGTCAAAAAGGGAAGAAAAAAATTGAAGTGGGGTATTTATGTATGTGGGATGAAAAAAAAGTGGAAAGGAAAAAAGATAAAGTGTATGTGAGAGCGCACTAAGCAGGAGACACGTGGGGCCCACAAGCATGAGTATCTCCACCACCACCACCACCTTCCCCCGCCCTCCCTCCCTCCCTCCGCCATTACATTATCCCTACGCCTTTCTTTCTTTCTTTCTCCCCCCTTCTTTTCTTCCCTTTCAGCAAACCATAATCTTTTGCTTTTTTTTTTTTTTATTTCATTCTCTCTCTCCATTTTCTTGGTTTTATTTATTTGTTTATGTCATGGCCGAACCATCTCTCGAATCATTAGGCGGCGGCGGCGGTGGTGGTGGTGGTGGTGGTGGTGGTGAAGAAGCTGGACTTGAGTTGGGTTTGGGGCTGAGTCTTGGAACTTGCGGCGGCGGTGGTGGTGGTGGTGCGGTGGCGGCGAAGGGGAAAGGTTCTGCATGGGGTGAGTACGGGAGGATATTGACTGCGAAGGATTTTCCGAATGGGTTCGCGTGTGGTAGAAGCGCCGCCGCCGCCGCCGGTGGCGGCGGAACGAAGAGGGAAAGATCTGCTCCTGATTCTGTTCATCAGGGATCTGCTACTTCTGCTGCTGTCAGGTAATTGTCAAAATGTTTAATTTTTTTTTTTAATAATTAATTAAATATTCTTTTAGATTTATCCAGTTCTTGAATATTTCCTGTTAATTGTATGTTAAATCATGCTAATTTTTTACCAAAAAAAAAAAATCATTTTGTTTTTAATAATTAATTAAATATATTTTGTGTGCCATAAGTCTTTTATTTATTAATCCGGGTAATAACCAAAATCTTGATCGAGTTTTTTAACAGAAAATATCTAAAATTGTGTAAAGTTTAACCCTGAATCAAAAAAAAAAAAAATCCGTGAAAAGTCACACAGGAGGGGGTTGATATAAGACGAAAACAAACATCACGGGTTTTTGCTAATTACGAATAGGTGGAGGTGGTTTTTGTAATTTAATCTAAGTTTAGGGGGATTTTCGTAATTTACCCTATTAATTAATGGGGTTCAAAATTATTTCCTTGAAGCAGTCAGGTTGTGGGATGGCCTCCTATAAGAGCTTACAGAATGAACACCTTATTCAACCAATCAAAATCTTCCAATGCGGAAGAGGAAACGGGAGTTGGCGGGAACGAAAAAAACGAGTACTCGAAGAAGAAGATCAACCATGGAAATGACCAAAGAGACCCTCTAGTTGCTGAAGAAATCGGCCATATTCTTGGATTCGTGAAGGTGAATATGGATGGTTTGGCGATTGGAAGAAAATTGGATTTGAATGCTCACAAGAGCTACGAATCGTTGGCTAATTCGTTGGACGATATGTTCTTCAATCCATCCCATACTATCCGTACGTTTTCTTCTATAATCATTTTTTGACATAGGCACTAGAATAACACATATATTACACTCACACCGTCTCGTTTGGTTGGTAAGATAAAACATGACTGACTGAATAAATACTCCCTGCATTCCACAATGCATTCCACAATACGTGTCGTTTTTCACCCTTGCACAAGTATTGAGAATCTTAATAAATGTTTTTTGATTTAGGAAAATATATATTCTTAGACTAAAATACCCTTGTCCAGTAATTGAAATTAAAACTAATAAGGGTATAATTGGAAAATATGTAATTGATGCAGCATTGGCGCATTGGCATTGGAATTCTGAAGTAACTGATAATATGGAACAAGAAAAATATGGGAGTAATTAATTTATCGGGCCGGTCCACAATAATGAAAAACCGAGGCCTAGTCGAATTATACAATTGGATTCTCATAAGATTGCATAATCGTATCTTCGGAACCAAACGAGGCCGTAAGATTTTAGTATTTGGAATTTAAATTACCGCAAGGCGCAAACCCCTAATGCCTACTTAGCTTATCCCAAGATTAGTCGTGGGCATCTTGGTCAATTGGGTGGTAAAAAACGAGTTGACTCCAAAATGAGGAAAATGTTTTTTTTAGGTATAACCATCTGCGTTTATGTCAATTAAAAGTCCCGGAAAATTGACATGCTTGTCTGATAATAGCTGCATTTAAATCAGGTGGTGGAAATGAACAATCTATAAAACCTGCAAAGCTTTTGGATGGTTCATCGGAGTTTGTGCTAACTTACGAGGACAAAGACGGAGATTGGATGCTTGTCGGTGATGTTCCATGGAGGTTTGTTAACACCGTTTCACTTTCTCGACATCTTTTTTTTAATTTGAATGTGACGACTTTTATAACGTTAAGCTAATACTATCTATAATTTCGACACTTCTTGTTTATTTTAATATATAGGATGTTTCTCAACACTGTAAAACGACTAAGGATCATGCGAACTTCCGAGGCTAATGGACTTGGTACGTACGTTTATTTCCACAGTGCTATGATCACTTCATATTAATTAATTTTTAACGAAATTAATTATATATATATTTGTTTCTCCAACAGCTCCGAAGTTGCAAGAAAGAAGCGAAAATCAAAAGGGAAAACAAACATAGAACCGGTGCTCGAAAGGAATTTGCATCTACGTACACTTGCTGCCTGAAATTGAAAACAAGAATATAATGGCTAAAATATATATACATGTTCGAGTAAATCGGCCTTTTTTCGTCTTTTCTTTATAATTTATTTATTATTTTCTCAAAATGTTTTTCTTCTTGGGAGTTTGTAGAGTGTGATCACTGCTTCTGGTGTTTTTATATTGTAAGCCATGTGTCTCAAAATTAGAGTTTGTTATGCTTTTGTTGACGTACACATTTCACTGATATATATACTTTATTTTCTAATTATATGTATATATAATATATATGTGAGATTGTCTCATATGGTTTTCTATTGTCTTGTTTATTTTTCATTTTCCAACATAACCCGTGCAGACAAAAACATTGATTATGAGAGAAGTTTATACCTAGGTGGTTCCTATAAAAAAATATTCAGGAAAATTGTTTTGTTGGTAAATTACGGCCAATCCCCTAAGGTAAGGTCGAATTATGAAAAAAAATCTTGATGTTTGGGTAATTACAATCACCGCTCAACTATGAATCTTCTTACATGTTCATCTTTATGGTGTCAAATTCAACATAATTTTTTTCAAAAAAAAATCAACATAATCTTCTAGATTATGTGGAATGTTCTCTAGTTTGTACTCGTTTTATGCTAAATTGTAGTTTTCGATGCATCACAATCTGATATATATTGACAAGCCAAGAGACACATCTTATGATCATCTTGTTTCAATATGTGGAGCTCGAATCGGGTAAAACGAGTACAAACTGGAGAATATTACATATAATCTAGAAGATTCCACTAGATTTGACACCGCAAGGATGGAGATGTAAGAAGAATCATAGTTGAGGGTGGTTGTAATTAATCAAACACGAGAATTTTTTCGTAATTTAACGTTACCTTAAGAATGGCCGTAATTTATGCACTAGATAAATCTTGTACTATTGTGCAAATTAATGTATGTGTGTGAAAATATCAACTTAAATGCGTTGGCAATGAGATTTGAACTCCAATAGTTTGACTCCTAGACCTGTTAATCCATTGATAGAGTTCCCTTTGTCTAGAGGATAACAATGGCGTGACATCAGCTTTCAATTTCGTCGGAGTCTAGCTGGCCGCAGTTCCTGTAATATCGGGAGAGGTTTTCCCGACGTAGAAGCTCCGACGATCAAATTGATTGTTTTTTTTTTATATCAAGTCATCATACAATTTATTTAACTTTTATTGAACAAAATGATCATATTGCAGCTGTCATTCATATGATATATATTATGCGAAAATAATATTATTTTTTTAGTTTGACATAATAATGAATTGTGTTGCACTCTGATTCGTAACAAACATATGACAAACTGTTTTCAGCACAATGTGTAATCATAGATTGAGTTAACTTTAAGATGGTTGTTTTAAAATTTAGGGTAAATTTTTTTTTCTCAATGTGAAATATATCATTTAGCTCTTGAAGTACAGAAAACATCAAACACCCATCTACCGTTAGGACCGGCAATTGAGTCAGAACTAACCGAAGTCCGATGGCTTGGTTTTATTATATTTGAATCGAGCCTATTTTTTAATAAGTCGGACCGAGTTTGAACCATTTTACTAAATCTGATTTATTTATGAGCCGAGTTTGAGCCTAATATATCTCAAACCGACTCTTTAGGTTTATAGAATAAATTTTATTATTTTAATATTATGACACCATACAAGTTACGACCATAAAATTATTTTATTTTGCAAAATAAAATGAATTAAGTAGTGGCGGTGGCATTAAGTAAAATAAGAATCAAATGCAAAATACCCATCGAAATCCAATTCCTAAAATTTATCACCGATATTTGAGAATATAAAACGTTTCCAGTAATAAGAGTTAGTATTTCCTTTTTTACTTCTTTCAATCTTGTTTTTAAGTTTTTCCAATAACTTACAAAGATCATTTAGGGTTTTTTGGATTGGCTTCAAAGGAGGTAAATCTTATTTATCACTTGTTTTTATAATTGTTTTTACTCATTATAGTTATACAGTAATGGGGCCCGATATAAACCTGAAACCTGAAAAAAATATATGATTCGAGCTTAAGCCTATACTAATGAGGTCCGATGGTAGCTTGAGCCTATAGTAACGAGACCAGATGGTATATAGTTTGATCCGACCCAAGCTCGGCTCACATGGCCCGATTGCCAGTCCTACCTACTATTAGTCTTTTTTTCTAATTTCGTTAGTCAAACCCTTTGACCGACTATTGCAAAAAAATGTTGGTTTTATGTTGACGAAAATACCCCCAAAATATTCATACAGGCTGTTTAGTTTTAACAAAATGTTCATCAGATTTTTCACTTTTTTCAGCCATTTTTTTCACTTTATTCAGTCGATTTTTTTTTACTATTTTCAGCTATTTTTCTTATTAAAAAAACTGAAAAGTCGAATAAATAAGAATGAAGCTTTACAAGCACCTTAAAAGAATTTAACATCATTTTGCACCATCGAAAGGTAATAAATCATTCACATTTCATCCACTGTTGATATTTGACTTGATCCCACGTTACACCCTTACAATGTGGAATTTTGACACTTTACACCCTTGAAATAAATTAATATTAGCGTGCACCCTCAAAACACAATAAATCATTCATAATCCACCTTGAACTGATATTCAAGTGAGATTCTCTAAGTAAATTATTTTAATAAATAAAGGGTAAATAGCACTTATCCCCCTATAATTTGAACTTTATGCACAATAAACCCCTTTTATTTTACTGTAAGCACATAACCCTTTTACTTCAATTTTTTTCCTCTTGGATATGATTATTTACCAAGTGGAATACCATAGCGGGATTATATACTTATATGAAATTTATAAAACAGTCATGTGCACAAAGTTTAAACTACAGGGAAATCATGTGCTTATATTGAAAGTACAAGGGAGTCGTGTGTACAAAACTCAAACTAGAGGGGGTTAAAGTGCTAATAAATAAACCCTGCACCTTATTATGCATCTGAAATGATAATATCTTTTCTCAAATGTGACAACTGTATAACAATATTATTAAGAAAAAAATTGATAGTCTTTTCTCAATTCAACACTCTTCATTTCTCATCATTTTTTCAATAAACTTGTATGCAACTATATTGAAAGTGAAAAATATGCAGACATAGTGTAAATTATACAGTATGCCGTATACTTGTACGCGCATATATTATAATCCACAATACATTCGACTAGCGACTTTATTCTCATTGACATTTGATCTTATTACAAACGTCGAGTACACGAACAATACAAGTTTTAAGCAAACACCGATCAAGAAGCTAAAAATTCAGCGCATAAATATTTTCGATGCTTTTTCAACTCCCGAAGTTACATAAATAAAAAACAAAAAAAGGGCGAGCATAAAAAATCACAATAATTCTCGTGAAAAGTCTTACTGCAGAAAGTCTCTTGGATCAGTAACGAAGCCAGTCAACGCAGATGCTGCAGCTGTATACGGAGAAGCTAGATATATCTGCCCTTCTTTGTGCCCCATTCGACCGGGGAAATTCCTGTTTGTCGTCGACACACATACCTATATATATATATTTACCAAAACAATAGCATTTAATTAAATCGGTATTATATTAGAATAACAAGTCATACATTTTAGGGTACATTACGAAAAACCCCCTGAACTTAGGCTAAATAACAATATACACCCCCACCTATTCGTAATTACCATAAACCCCTTGTGACTTTTCGCGGATTTTTTTTATATTCCAGGGATAGACTTTACACAATTTCAGATATTTTCTTTTATTTCTCACCTATTTAACAGACGGTACAAATAGACTGTACACATTTTCATTTTGAAAAAACTCGATCAGTTAATAAAGGGGGATTTTGGTTATTACAGATAGGTGGGAGTGTTTTTTAATATTTAGCCCAAGTTCAGGGGGGCTTTCGTAATTTACCCTACATTTTATAAGGGTACTTTTGTCATTTAAAGTGCACCAATTCCACTTTAATTCTCTTTTTAATGTTTGTAGGGGGTTTAGTGCAAACATTTAATTTTTTGAGGGGTGAAGTGCATTTTGTTTGCCGTAATATATAATTAAATAATTGCTACAAAAACTTGCCTGAGCTTCATTCATGCGCGCATAAGTGTCTCTCGGCCCACCCAAACAAGCACCGCAACTAGGGCTAGCTGGCGTATCACAACCAGCTTCTTCGAATATCTGCGAGCAAGTTTTCCCGCCCGCTCCAGGTACAGGTAGACTATATACATCCATCCACACCTGATAAATAAATAAAAAAAACAAAAACATTCAATTTACATTTAAAAAAACTACGAAATATAGCATTTTTTTTTTTTCATGATATACGAAGCAAGAAGCCTTTACCTTTTGCGTAGCTGGCACTAGGAATGTCGGAACTTTCACCCTTTTCCCCTGTATATAAAAGCAACTAAGTTTCAGCATACAATTTTGAGGAGTTAATTGCAATTGGCACCCCCTATGTTATTTTATTGGCAAAAACACCCCCTATAGTTAAATTTTTTTTAGCAATTAGTACCCCTGTTTACGGGGTTGTGTGCTAAAAAAAAATTGAATCATGCCGATGCATTAACACGGGGGTAGGTTTTTTTAGCAATTTGATATAAGGGGGTACTAATTGCAATAAACCCCAATTTTGAGATAAGAAAACGGCTTTCTGCTACTTATAAATTACCGAGGCATGAAATAATTTGGCAGCAGCCATGAAATCCTCTGTTTTACCACCGGTGCAAGATCCGATATACACTCTGTCGATTTTCACGTCTTTGCATTCTCTGGCTAAAGCACGATTATCGGGAGAGTGAGGCTGAGAAGACAAAAAACGATCAAACAATTATGCAAAGAGCTCACTCGATCATTATTGAAATAGCAAAATATATATATATATATATATATATATATATATATATATATATATATATATATATATATATACAGTTCTAAATTATTACATCTATATATACATATATATAATGCTTCTAAATTATCATTTTTATCATAAGTGCATTAACAGTTGAGATGTAATAATTTTTCTCATAGAACTGAAGATTATTCACCTTAGCAACCAAGGGCTCCAATTTCGAGACGTCGATTCTGTACTCTTGAAGAAATCTATAAAAAAAATACAAAAATCAATTTTGACCAGTCAGCACAGCAAATAAATTTATGATATCTAACCGTACGATACTTTTCTTCTTATTTCAGTCTCAACTAGAAAATTAGAAAACGAAACCTACCTTGCTTGTCCGTCACTATAAACTGGCTCATACGGCAAAGAAGTCTTGTCCTGAGAAGCAGAAAAACGAAAGATGCATCATTATCAAGAAAAACCTAGAAAATAAATAATTAAAAAAATATATTAATTCGAGGAAAGTTCGACGAAGATATATTTTTTTCCCGAAACTAACCTCGAGGTACTTAAATGTGGTACTATCAGCAGGGACGATACCGTTCTTTCCACCAGCTTCAACAACCATGTTGCACAGTGTCATTCTTTCTTCCATCTTCGCCAAAAAAAATAATTAATTAAATGATGTGGTAAAATAAAGACTAATTATCGACTCAAAAAACGTAAATTTAAAAAAAAAAAATTAGTGAATGGTGAGACGCGCGGCTTACTGTCAAACTTTCGACAGTAGAACCGACAAACTCCATTGCTTTGTACGTTGCACCAGCTACTGAAATCTCGCCGATAATCTACAAAAAATAATGCAAAATAATTAAGTGAATAAAAATTAGAGATTTTGAATCCGCATTAATACGTCGGTTTTCCCCGTTAATTAAAATGATATTGAGTTTACGTGTACGTACTTGCAAAATCAAATCTTTTGCAAGCAGATAATCGGGCATTTCGCCATCCATAACAAATCTCAGAGTCGGAGGCACCTGCAATTCATTGATGTGAGATATTCAATTTAATATGCCGAATTATAATCATGATACGACTATTTTAGATATACGAATACGTAACATTTTAGATATACCTTAAGCAAAAGCTTTCCGGTACCCAAAACAAAACCCGCATCGGTATTTCCGATCCCGGTAGCAAATTGACCAAATGCTCCAGCGGTACATGTGTGCGAGTCCGTACCCAACAAAACCTAATTTGTCGAACATAAAATCCAAAAATAGAGCAATTATTAAAAAAATTAAACACTAAATGGAGATACGTTAAATAATTAATATCGATAACAATTCTAATAAACAAGTGATACCTCTCCTGGACGACAATGACCTTCTTGAGCAAGCGCCACGTGGCACACGCCTTTGTAATCTGGATTTGCCTGCAACGTCGATTTTTTTTAAAAATATATACAGCACAAACATGCACGTACGTGACACAGGAATTTGTAGCAAATAAGACGTACCTTAAAATTCCCGAGATCTTTAATGTCGTAAAAGTACTTGATATCTTGTTCGTTACAGAAATCCCTCAAGATGTCTACATTTCGATTTGCTCGTTCGTCGGCTGTGAAAATATAGTGGTCTGGAATTATAACAATCTTTTCACGGTCCCACACCTACATTAACAATGAACAGAAAAAAAAAATTAAGTTCGAATATGTTACGGTAAACTGTAGAAACGAATGATATCAAAATAAAAGACAACAGAGCACATATACCTCAATAACAATGGCATTACCGTTTATTAAAGCACAAGACAATCGAAATTATTTTTTCAAGAATTATATCGCCAAGGATAATGAGATTATAGACTTAGATAAGAGTCGGCCCAAAATCAAACGAGACGTGTACACTTGGTCGATTCTTGCCGAAAGATGTTATCCAACTCGTAAAGGGCTTCTATGAGAACAAAATTTATATACAAGAAAATAAAATTAACAAACTAATGGGATTCTCAGAGACCTCGAAACACGGGTTGAGGTTCAGTCCACTAAATTGACAGAAGATTCAAGAAATGTAAAAGGTGTGGGAATAATCTAAGGCTGCGTTTGGATTGAAGTATTTGAAATGAGTGGAAAATGTGGAGGGTTTGAAATGACTACATATGGGAAGAGAATTGAAATCGACCACAATTGCTCGAAAAATAAGTTGTGGATTCGAAATTCGTTGTCAAATGATTCCGCCCAAACGAGCTCTAATGGAAGATCATCATATGATTGAACCTTCAAGAACTAAACTATGTCGAACAATAATTGAGCATTAGTATCTTAACTTCTGAAAAAATCGAGTCTTGAAATCAAACTTTCAAAAGCGTCTTTGCTTGGTTTATTACGGATAAATTTCATTACGAGGCTAATAAATTCGTTCTCCCCAATTGCATCCTATTATCCGACGATTCTATAAATTATCATCAGCATCTTGCATTATCGAAGTAAAGACAACCACAACACCCTCAACACAACTTACTTTAATAAATAAAAAACTGTTCTTTACTAAAAATATCACGAGCGTCAACCTTGCGTTATCGAAGAAGAACAACGTAAAGACAACCACAACACCACACATTACTATAACCAATCGAAAAACTGTCCTTTACTTAAAAAAAAATTACCTTTGCATTTTTCCCAAACTCTTTCTTGAAAATCCCGATAGAACCCGGGCCACAAACGTCGTGGGTCATCAAGATATCGACGTTGACCCACACGTTCTCGCCGGGTATCAATTGGGATTTCTCCGAAGCTCTTGCAAATATCTTCTCAGTCATTGTCATCCCAGTCTTAACCTGAACCCAAAAGAAAAAAAAAATTAACACAAAACCCAGAATTAAAATGCAACCAATTTAACAAATCCATCTTCACAAAAAAAAACATAAATTAACACACAACCCATAATTAAAATGCACCCAATTTAACAAATCCATCTTCACAAAAAAAGAAAAAAAAACACATAAATTAACACAAAACCCAGAATTAAAATGCAACCAATTTAACAAATCCATCTTCACAAAAAAAAAAAATATGGGGTTACCGCGCCGGTTGTGGAGGGTTTGCGCTCAGATTGCTGAGGTGTCATCACAGAAACAACTTTCTTGGACACCATTTTCTTGGAAACCTGTGCGGAACATGGGAACGAAGGCTGTGTGCAGAAAGACGAAAATCCCACATCTTTCTGCTTAAAAACAAAAAACAAAAATTGAATTAAAAAAACAGAGGGGAATTACAAATTAGCTAAACCCTCCGAAGAAATTGGAAAAGAAAATAGAAATGAAATTATAAAACCTTGTCGGAGAGAAACGATGAGGTCGGAGGCAAAGCAGATGAACCCATCGGGAGATGTTGTCCGAAGCAGAAGAGATCGATGTGAAAGGAGAGGCGGCTACTCCTTCTTGATGATGAGTATTGATAAAATATAGGTTGTGTTGTAAAATAGTTATAAATTAAAATCCCTCACTGGAAAATTACAAAATTAAATGGTTTTTTCATTCACTTGTCAAATCGATTTTTGCTTCTGAATTGTGTTGTATTTTAGGGGTCGAAATGCTAATTATTTAGTGTGTTTTGTGGGCAATTGCATGAGAATACAAATTATGTAGGGGTGGAAATTAGAATGGAATTTCTTAAGTCGGGTCGATTCGGATTCGACAATATCCGAATTTGGAAACGTGTTTTTCATTCCGAGTTGCGATTTTTTTGAATTTATCTGGAACAGGATTGAAATGGTATAAAAAAATTATCGGAAATTCCGAATTTCCAATCCGATTTAGTTCTGAATATTTCCATGATTTTGTGAACTATATAATCTAATTTGTATTTGCATAATACAATTTATGTTAAATTTTATAGGGTAAATTACAACCACCCCTGAGATATGGTTAAATTACGAAATTTATCCCTCTTGTTTGTGTAATTAGTAATTACAACCACTTGTGCAATTGTTGTACATTTTTTGTGTGAAAAGACAAGATTGCCCCTATGAATCAACACTCGTGAAACAATTAAACTCCCTGATGAATTTTTTTATAATATTTTAATTTAAACAAATAAAATAAAAAAAATATAAATTATATTTAAATATATATATTCAAAAAGAAAAACATAAAATGTCGGACAAAGCCACAGATGCATCATCTAATCTTCTTCCCGAACCGCCCACCCCCACTCACCTCTTCTTCCGCCAAGACCGTTGGTTCGCCGAAAACCTCCAAATACTTAAGCACAATAACCACGACAATGGCATAACTGGAGATATACTCCAGTTTTGGGAAAACGGAAGAAATGGGTGGAGAAATCTGGATTTTAGTGATTGTTTTGTTGAGGAGAGAAGAAAGTTTATTGTTGCGGAACGACGTGTAATGATGTTGAAATTAAAATCAAAGTGTGTGTATTTGCGTGTATGTGTTCTTTTTCAATTGGAGAAGAGGGCTTAATTGAAAATAATAAGGACTGAACTGAAAATTTTAAAAACTTCATTTGGGTCATAAAAGTTTAGAGGTTGGTCGGATTTATCTAAGGGTTTTTTCATTTTTCACGAGCGGTCAACGGATAAAAATAAAAAGGGTCAAGTGTGCTTGTTTGAAGACTTGTCGGGGGGATTTGTCACTTTTCTTTATTCTAAGGGGGGTTTTCGCCTTTAGGATTAACACAATGGTGTTTTTTGTATTTAACTCTATTTAGTTAATCTTGACTAATCTTTCCAATTAAAGGGGACCTTATACGACTAAAAATCGCTAAGTTGACCGACTAAAAGATATTTGTATGGCTCCCCATTATTTGTTGGGGCCTAAGTAGTTGCTTTAATTGCTCTTAGTTAATTACCGACGCATCTCTCTAAAAGTTTAAACTTTTTCAATAAGGAGTGTAACCCGAACCTGTTTAATTATTATGAAAAACTAGAGAAATTTCGCTTCTCATTGTTTCATGTACAATATTTTTACCACGACAATAGATAGAGATGGAAGAATTACACGATATCGCGGAAGTGCACTACGAAGCAGGCACCCGCAAAGTGCATCTCTTACGGAATTTCTGCGTACGTTCTTGAGGGAGGAAGGCTATCCGCAGTTGGCTAATCGTCATTTCTTTGACGAGCTCGATCGAGACGGAGATGGTACGTACTCTCGATTTCTTGGAGGTGATGACATTGTACTACATAATCAAAAGCAGGAGGCCGCGCCGTTTTGTAGCCGGTGTGGGAATTTAATTAATTCATACCGGGAATATTCTTCTCGTGTGTCAAGTGCTATAAAAATCCGAGAGGAGGCGGGGGCTCTTTTAACCTATGCCGTGTTTGCTACGGCTCTAAGAGATGTAACCATGGTCATAACGGCCGCGTTTCGTAGAAGCCCGATTCCACGAAACGCGATCGTTCATGCAGCTGGATGCTACAAACAGTAATCTTTATGCTAGTGTCACGTGGCAGCCAACGTACAACAATACATACATACAATGTTGTGAATCACTCAACAGCAATTGATCCCATGAGATGATGATTTGACCCAATGAGATGATGATTAACGACGACGAATCAATTATTTGGACTTTTGGGATGAAAAAAATGGAGATTTTAGAAAACACTAAATCATTCTTTGAATGATAAGGAGCATTTTGCAACCTAATTCAAATAGCATTTCATACAGATGAATTATGATTTTGTATCATTTAATATTTATATCTCCAATGACGAGCTTTTATTGAAACCAAAAACAAAATGCACGTCTTATTCACATGTATTCGTGGCCCTTAAAGAAAAGTCTAGAATAATATACTCCCGGCCCATATGGGTTGTCTTTTTTTTTTTTTTTTTTTTTACATTAGAGGACCACAAGTTAATTACTCCATCATTTTCTCAAGTGTCGTTTAAGGTTGATGCAGAACAATTAAAAAACCTATTAAATAGTCTTGCTTTTCGGAAAAAAAAGTATTCTTATTCGACAAAATTATCCTTTGTGAGCTTTTTATTCCGTCTCTTCTGTAACTTCATTAATATGTCATTAACATTAGGATAAAATTGGACAAAAAAATTGTCTTACTTTAAAACTCTTAAAACTCTAAAGCAACACTTAGTATTAATTAAAAGAAAATATTATTATGGCCAAATCGACAAAACGAAGGGAGTACATGCTAAATCAATTCGGATAAAAAGAAATGAAAATAACATGCAAGTTCTAGTCAAGAATATACCTTTCAATAAATTGTTAGGCCACGATGATTTTGTACTAGTGGCATGATAGATATGGTTTACAAACATGATAAAAAGCATGACCATGATTGATTTTTAATGATTACTTATTTTCAATAAATTGAAACATGATTGATTTCATAATTGGCTACCTATAGTTACTAGTTTCTTACTTTCTTTTTATTTCACAATATATGAATTATGCAAACCGGCTTTATAAGGGCATCATCCTTTATGGTGGTGTTGCAATTAGGGGTAAGAACGAGTTGTGCTCGAGTCGAGCTCGCATGTTTTGGCAAGCTCGAACTCGAGCTCAAGTTCATTTTGTCGAGCTCGAGCTCATTAATTTTCTTTTCTTTTTTTGCCCGAGCTCGAGCCTAAGCTCATTTTAATGTTTTGTTAACTATTAATTTTTTATTCATTAAAATTTGTTTACATTATAATAAAATATTACAAAATAAACAATAAATTATATATATATATATATATATATATATATATATATATATATATATATATATATATATATATATATATATATATATATATATATTTTTTTTTTTTTTTTTTGAGTGTATAAATAAATAAAAAAAAAAAAAAAAAAAAAAAAAAAAAAAAAAAAAACGCGCGTTTTTTCGCGCGCGCGCGCGAGAAAGAGAGAGAGAGAGCGCGCGCGCGCGCGCGCGCGCGCGCGCGCGCGCGCGCGCGCGCGCGCGAGAGCGCGCGAGAGAGAGCGCGCGCGCGCGCGCGTGC